TAACGCTCACAACGCTCGTGGAATCATTTCATCCTTGTCGTTTATCAAATGTTAAACAAGGATAAACGATGCTCGCGAGCGTTAAGTGGAATGCAGCCCACGACGTCCACGACCCATGTTTTGTGCACCACGACCAATCGTCGATTAATTTAACTAAAAGTTGGTGAAAGAGACTCGTAACATGTCGTTATTCAATTGCGATGACTCCAATTCCGATGGAGAATTGAAGATAAACAAAGAATATGCCAATATCTACGATAATTTTCGTCAAAAGGAAGAATTACATAAACGTGAGTGAACCTAACCCTTAACAGACGCAAAAGATTTTTTATTGGATAATTTTTAATTAGAACACACACGCAGTACTATCTCTTTTAAAAATTTGTTTTCTTTTTAACTGTTTAACTTTTTCAATTTCTTACAAACTAAGTCATATACATATATATATATATAGTGTAGGAGTCGAACTCAGGATCTGTGCAACTAAAAGTCGAGAATCTTTTACAGGATCATCCTAAGATGCAAAAATTTCTCTATCTAAAAATTATATTAAAGTGACATGATTATAATTGATTGATATACATAAAAGAATCAGAGAGAAAAAAAAATATTTCATTGAATTAGAAAAATCTTATACCTCATCTACTATATCTAACAATTAATATTAAATTATTACATTAAATTATTATTTTACATAGTGCTTTAAGTATATATATAATTATAATTTTTTTCCTATTTTTAATCATCTTGCAGTGAAGGCAAGATATGGAGAAGATGCTGCATTTTCAGAGGATGAGTCCAGTGATAGCAGTTCATCAGAGGATGAGAATGTATGTTAATTTTTAATTTGTTTAACATATTATTAATTACTCTTATCATATATTTTATCATAAATATTTTCTTAACTTATTAGATTTTGTCTCCTTTCCATCTCATAAAAATCTAGCTTTATGTACAATAATACTAATTTTAAAAATGCATAATAATAGTAATTAATTTTTTTTAGATTCAAGATCCAGAATTTGATAAACAGTTTCTCATAACATTGGCTTGTTTGAAATCTGAAGATCCGAGCATATATGATGAAAAAGGTTTTAATGATATTGACAAACCTGGAACATCGGAAAGTACTGAAGCAAAAGAAATAGAAAAGAAAAAGTCAAAAAAAGAGAAACCTATTTCTTTACGCGATTATGAACGTAAGATAATATTAGAGAGAGATGGACGGTTTAGTAGCAGCGAAGATGAAGATGATGCAAAACAGAGAGCTGAATCTAAAACATCCACTTATGTACAGGAACAAAAAGAATTAAGAGATAGTTTTAAACATTCTCTAAAAGATGAAGATGAAGATGAGAATAATGACCTTTTAAAAATAAAACAAAAAACAGAAGATGAAAAACTCAAAGTACTTTCAATGATTATATTTTTACATGTGTATATATGTATTATTGTGTATAATACTATTATTGTTTTATTTAGGAAGAAGAATCATATAAGGAGTGGTTGAAAGGTCAAGAAGTGAACATAGATCTCAAGGACAAGAAAATTCTTAAACCATTACGCGATTTTTGGTTGGATCCCAATTTAGATTCAAATGAGAAATTTTTAAGAGATTATATTTTAAATAATAAATATATAGATAAAGAATCATATGATGTTGACTTGGAGTATAATCAAGTTATTCATGACAGCGATGAGAACTTGTCAGAAGATGAAAAGACTATTGAAAAGCAAGAGGAATTTGAACGTAAATACAATTTTAGATATGAAGAACCTGATCAAGAATATATCAAAAGGTACAAGTTCTTATTTAATTTAAATATAAATGTTAATTATTAAATATGCTAAATTTTTTTTATTCGTGAATTTTATGTTTTAAGGTATCCACGAACAATGGAAAATTCAATGCGGAAAAAAGATACGCGCAGAGCTCAGAAAAGAGCAGAAGTTAAGCAAAGAAAAGAGCAAGAGAAACAACAAAAGAGAGAAGAACTAAAGCAATTGAAGGCGTTGAAGAGAAAAGAAATAGAAGACAAAATAGAAAAATTGAAAGAAATCACAGGTAACATAACTTTAATTTTTAAACGTGTAAAATTTATGTTAAATTATTCAACATTATGTTATGTCTACTGCAGGAAATGATGATATGCGCTTCGATAATGTTGATTTTGATTCTGATTTTGATCCAAATGAACATGACAAAAAGATGAAAGAGATTTTTAATGACGAATATTATGCTAGTGGTAAAGATGAAATGCAGAAGCCAGAATTCCCAGAGATTGATGAAGAATTGGATATCGAGAAGTGGGACTTTTATGATCCAACTACAGATAAAATTGACATAAAAACTGAACCATACGAAGAACCTCATTGTGAAGATCTAGATTTTAATGTACTTATTTTATAACTTATCTATTATATGGTATTTTACTAATATATTTTACGAGGGGGGACCCAAAAAAAACGGGAATTTCGTCATAACTTCTTTATTTCTCAATATTTTAACACCAAATTTTGATCACCTTCAAAGTATTCGCCATTGACCACAACGCACTTCTCCAAACGATTCTTCCATTGTTCAAAACAGTTTTTAAATTCACTCATCGGGATGTCCTTTAAGCCTTCCAGCGATTTTTGTTTCACCTCCTCCACAGTGGCAAAACGCTTTCCTTTCATATTCCTTTTGAGTCTGGGGAACAAAAACCTCCAAGTAGAGCTTCTGGTTGGCAGTTTGACCCGGGGGAACGAACTCCGCGTGCACAACACCTCTGCAATCGAATCTGCCACTGTGGAGGAGGTGAAACAAAAATCGCTGGAAGGCTTAAAGGACATCCCGATGAGTGAATTTAAAAACTGTTTTGAACAATGGAAGAATCGTTTGGAGAAGTGCGTTGTGGTCAATGGCGAATACTTTGAAGGTGATCAAAATTTGGTGTTAAAATATTGAGAAATAAAGAAGTTATGACGAAATTCCCGTTTTTTTTGGGTCCCCCCTCGTATATAGGAACTTTACTAGTCATCTGATTATAGATGGATGCAGATTATAATGAATCCCGAGATTTACAATCTGAACTCACAGAAAATACAAAAAAGAGAAAACACAGGAAGCGCTCTAAATTTGCTGAACTTATAGCAAAGGAAAAACCGAAATTTGATCCAAAACAATTTCCTTCATATGCAGGTTATTTTGATCAATATTACTCGTTGGATTATGAGGACATGATTGGAGATTTACCTTGTAGATTTAAATATCGAAAAGTAGTGCCAAATGACTATGGATTAAGTGTTGAAGAAGTAAGTGTTAATTGTGTAAAATTTATTAATATTAAAACTAATAACTAACGAAATCGTTTTTAATAATATAATAATTCTTATAATTTATAATTTAATAAATATATGTACATTATCTTATTTTAAGATTTTAATGGCTGATGATAAGGAGTTAAATAAGTGGTGTTCTCTGAGACAAGCTCTTAAATATAAACCAGAACACATAGAAAATAATGAGATTCAAATATATAAAAAAAAATCGATGAATGAAGTAAATAAGCGAAAAATTCTTAAGAGTTTATATACGTAAGTATTATACGAGAATTAAGAACATATGATATGATTTTATATGTACTATAAATTACATATTATTCTCTTGTATATTTAGCGAACCAGAAGAGACAAAAGAAGAAAAAGACGAAAATATTACTGAACAAACTGAAACTAATAATAAGAAACGTAGGCGAAAGAAGAGAGCTAAAACCATTAATCCTAACGCAGGATTGTTTATAGATGCTGATATTGTTTCTAGAGAAAAAATCATGCATATAACAGAAAATGATGTACCGAATAATTTACATAATAATAGTAAGGATGAAAGTGGAAAGGAGGAAAAAAATGAGGATGCACAAGAGGAAAATATAGTAAATAAGAATAAAAAGCAGAAACGAGTCAACGAAGTCAACAGCGATGCTCCGATTTCTAAGAAAGTGAAGATAGATAACACAACGACAGAAGATTCTCAAATAAAAATGGACGTTATTAATAACATAGAGAATAATAACAAAAATAAAACAGAGATTAATAACAAAATTAAAACAGAAAATAATAACAAAAAGATAGCTATTGACAAATTTACAGGTAAGAGGAAAAACAAGAATAGGCGCTCTCAATTTAACCAAATGAATACTGGAAGATGCAAACCAAATTATGATGATCCAATGATGTCTTTGAATACAGAAAGATTGAAAACATATGGAATAAATGCTAAGAAATTGAAAAATAAATTAAAATATGGTAATAAAAGATTATAAATATGGATTTTCTGTATTTGCATATTCATAAATATAGCAAATATAAAATTATATCTATATGATTTTAAATTCCAGCATTTATTTTTTAGCATTTATTATTATTTTTCTATTGATATAATGTATGTACATATATGTATATATACAATATAAATCAGATCATATCGCAAAGTTACAATAAAGAAATAGAAAAATGTATCGATATATATATATAGGCATGACAAGTTTAATATAAAAGCATATAAATCGTATAAATAAGATAGAGCTACAAGCTGTACATTATAATAAAAATAAAAGCCTATATATATTACACACACACACACACACACAAAAATGAATAAGAGACAACAGTCAGCGACTGCGCGCACCCTCGAGTAGGAGTGGTCTCGAGTTAGGGTGGATCCGCTTTCGGATGATAAACGACGTTTGCGGATTATTAGGATCGTACGCTACTGTTTGTGTTTGCCTATATCCAACAATTTCCATCTCTAATCCAGCCCGTATGCTTCGCTCAAGAGAAAACAGCCCATTGATCGGCGCGTTACAGATTTCATTTACCAAGTTCTTCGCGTACATATCCAACTTAAAAGTCTATACTATACATTTTTCCTTTCGATCCGTTAAAATTTTAACGAAAATAATTAAAAAACAAATTTTAATTAAAACACTTAATTTTTCGATAATTATTAATCAAATTAATTTTTAAGCAATATATGTGATCATGCTTCTGGAAAATTAAATCAGAAATTGAGTTTTTTCAAGGAAGATTATATTGTACATATATTACTAAGATTGTTTTATATATGCATTATTATAACTTTTTTTTATAATGGAACATTAATAAAATCATTTTTAATCGCAGCAGATATTTATTTTCCACGTTAAATATTTCTATTACAGCCGTTTCGATTTAACAGATTACATTATATAAAAAATATACATGTCATTTATTTGTTATAACAATGACGTGTCATTTTTTAATTGCTTGTAAAAAACCGATAACATGAAAAAAAACACGCATTAAAAGTACATTAAGACATACATTAAAAATACATTAAAAGTATATTAAAAGTACTTTTATTTCTCTATTATTATATCGATTATTAACATTCAAAGTTGTATTTCAAAATTAATATGACATTTTAACGATTCAAAATATTTAAGCTTATTTCCTGAAGAACTTTATTTTTCTAATTGTATCGCTGTTGTAACAAATGAGCAATATATAGAAATATATTATCACATTTAAAATATTTATTTAAAATTTCAATATTTCGATTTATACATTCTTCTCAATTTAATTCATTAGTATTTTTATATTATATCTATATTTTATAATTATCTATAAGTATATGTATACTCAATTTAATTCAGAAGTATTTTTATATTATAATATATCTATATTTTATATTTATCTATAAGTATAATATTAAAGAATAAACAGAATTGTGGCTATCAAATCGTATAAAACGTGATCATGTGTAATTTAAAACAAAAGATTCGATCACTTGCGGGGAAAAGGGCGACTGTAGAAAACAATATCGTTGATAATGCATCCTCTTCAGAATTTTATTTAACAGAAGGGAACAACGACATTGGTTAGACTCGCTTCGAAACGGTCGGCAAACCCTCTTTCTCCCCCGGGTACAATAAATCAATCCCCTCGGCTCGACGAGGAGTACCAGTATAGTAGCAGGTGGCTCCTGACGGCCACCGGCGTTCGCGCCCTTAATTCCCAATTAATGTTATCCTCGATGTAAACGTACGTCCTACACGTTCCCCTTGGTCTTCGAACCGTACGTTCGAACATGTTTCCTCACGGATTATGCATCAAATGCGCCGATAGAACATCGTCGGGTGCGTTAAAGTAAAGCGCAGTTCTATACAGTGAAATATTTTTTGCAGTATCTTAATTCTAAAATTGCTCGAATTCTTGCTTTTCAGAAATAGGATTTAATGATTAATTTGTTTGTATATATTCGACAAGTACAAAAAGAAGATATATAAACAAATTTAATAGAAGCATTAAAACATTATTATGACATCCGCACATCGAAGGAATAATAAATAAAAAAAATAGCATAAGTATTATTTAAATATAAAATACTATATAAAGATAAAAAAATATCTTTAATTAAATTTGAAAGAATTTATAGGAGAAAAAAAGAAGTCCTGCGAAAGTTTCACGTTGCGACTCGCACGTATAATCGATATAATTGATCGGGGATAGGAAGCTGTGCCCGAGTTATAGGAGCTATTGAATTACGGTAGGACCGAATTTCACGGGCTAACACCTCCATCTGGATAGTAACCGAGGAGGATAAGTGCACTTAGGGTAGTGTAATTGACACAATATCCCCGGCGGCGTTCTAATTGGCGGAAAATCGTCGGGTAGAATCCGATCTCATCGGTTCCTCGTTAACTAATCGGACAATTAAACACCTTGCAGCGATGCCCCTTCGTCTACAATCGCGAAGATAGAAATGTAAATTTGGGGACTCATTAGGAACTATAAAAAAAAGTGAGTGCATTTAGACATAAAATAAATTTAGTTCTACAAAAAGCGGTTTTTATCTTGCGATTATTCTGCTTACTGTGTTCTCTTCTGGAGAAAAATCGATATCACATTTATAGAAAAAGATATAGAATAACACTTTATTCTACATATAATAGTAAATAATACTTCAATTTGCTAAAATATGTATGTATATTATTTCCGTGCATGAAAGTTTCAGCACCCGATAAAAAGAAATAATTGACTTTTTTCATCTTCGCATCACGTGACGCAAAGTATATAGGTATATATATTCACAAAAACGGTCACACGCGTATTTCATCAAATCTTCAATTTCTTAAATCTGTACAGAACAATGAGAAATGAAAAATGTGCGAAATTTGCTTTTACGGAGAAGCAATGGTTGTAAATGCATCGGTGATCATAGTAAAATTCGACTCGTCGGTTCGTATGGTAGTATTCGGTGGTCTATCCGGATTTCCCGTAGGTAAATCTCCTACTTGGATGAGAATCACGAGATAGGTGGTGACCGAGCCAATGACCTGAGAAGAAAGAAATTCAATAATTTGTTTCTGTATATTTTGTTTGAGTGAAAGAGAGGTTTTATATATTATTTTTAAAGATCCTAATTGTGTAGATGTGGACAGCCCAAAAACTCCTATATTTGTATATCTCTGAATAAATATAAAAAAAAAAAATAATCGCTGTTTTTCAATTTTTGCCACTTTTTATGTAATTTATTGCAAATTTATTGCTGTATTTTTTTCAGAATCAAATTTTATTTTTTTTTTCAAGCAAATAAAACTAATTGATCAAAATTACAAAATGAGTGACAAGAATATCAAAGACTTCATCTCTACAGAATTTTTTATTGTAGTGAAGCACGAAATATTATGTACACTTTAGTCTCATCGTGTTTTGGCGTTACATGCGAAATTTTGTAACTTTCGATTAATTCTTAGGACCCTAGCACACAAAAAATTTAAGGCAGTAAGACGTAAGCATTAAGAAAATCAATATGTTGGATTTGCTACTGCTTATGTTATAGCCTTACGGACTCTACTGTGATTGGTCAATTCACTTACTGCTTACGTTTTACTAAGTTTTTTTGTGTACCATGGCCCTTAATTGCAGGCATAAAAGTTACAAGACAAAGTCTCAGATTAATCGTTACTGAAGTAACAAAGAGTAAATGAAAACTAATGCTAATAAACAACGGTATTATTAGGATGAAAATAAAGTATAATAGGTCATACTAACGCATCATGTGCGCGAGCGATTATCCAAGAATCTATATTTTTACAATAGGTTAAAAGTCTTTATTTTTACAATAAATTTCAAGAAACTTATCGTACCACTTCACATCTCTGAAACAACTTTCCGCTTTATGAAATTCAAGCGATCCATTAATGCGTGGTCTACAATGGGCAGTAGCAGTAGTGGATTAAGGAGTAGACGCAGAAATCAACCAATCATAATCGAATGTGAGAAAGATAATCAACTACGATTAGTCGATTTCTGCACCTACTCCTTAATTCACTACTGCTACTGCCCATTGTAGACCACGGATAACACTTACCCCATGAATGAACGTGTGATCCAGATTGAAGAAGCCACACGCTGTATATGTCAACGGATTTTGTATCAATTGCAGAGTGAAATCTCGTATCTGTAACAAATTTCGATATTAATTGTTGTTTCTCGTTATTTCATTACATTAAGATAAGATGATGGACTTGCCTCCGCACGAAATTCTTTGCTGGTCGTTGGCTCGTACAACTCGCAAATTATATCACCTGTGTTCGCAGCCTGCGAAAGTTCATGCATCAATATATTATATCGCGATTGTTACCACGCGACAAACCAATTTATTTTTGTCACTACTCAAAAAAACGATAATATTTGAAAGAACTTATGTTTTTACTGATTCTCCAAAACACACAAACAAGAAAAAATGAAAGGGCGTATAAAAATTTTGCTTGCCTCAACGCTCGTCATTGCACACATATGATTTATAACGAGGACCTTCGATGAGTAGAACAGAATCCAGCTAATGACCGGTATTATTTCCTTCTGGTAATTTTCCTTCTGGTATTTTTCCTTCTCATAGTCTCCCTGCCAGAAAACCTTGTAAGCGTAGTATAGGAGACTAGTGATGAATACGAACGACACCGTCATAGAAAAAAGGATCTGTATGCCGAACGCATCATTCGTACTCCTGGTAGACTTGATTAATTCCAAATGAACTTGCCTTTATTCAGCATAAAGAAGAAAACATTATCATCCAAATCGTTTCGAAAAAGTATGTATGCATTGTAATACATTCTACTACAAGGTACTAAAAAACTAAATCAATTACGAATAAATTTGTTATATTTAATTTTATTATTTTCAGGAATAAATAAATAGGAATTCATACGGTGAACCAGGGTAGCTATCATGTAACTTTTTTCCTAGAGTGGAAATGTAAAAAGTGAAAATTCTTTTGTTGTATGTGTTTTTAAACAAAAATGCACTGATATAATATAACTGAGAGTTGAACATAAAATTGAATTTCAATTTTAATAAAAATAATTTGTGTATATATGAAAATTAAATAAACTAAGGAATTAAAGATCATTTGTTAACATTATGTTACAAAGAAAAATTTGAAAGGAATAATTTATTTAAATAATATTTTAATATACATATATAGATAGTAGTACAATAAAAATTGTATAAATGAAATTACGTAATTCAATTAGCAAAAAGGAAAATGATAAAATGAGGAATTATGCTCATTGCATAGAGTATTAATATAATTGAATTTTTAATTTTTAGTTAATAATTAATTATACAGATTTTACGGAAAAGAAACTAATAAAACAGTAATAATAATAAAATAATACAGATTAATATACAAATAAACATTATTCTGTAACATAACTTACAATTAATACATCAGACTATCAGTTTTAATTAATTTGTGAAAAAAACAGTACATTTGTGGTACCACGTCATCGGTTGTGAGTTGTGAATGTGTTAATTACCATATTTTTCGAAAATAAATGTATAACAGATCAAGATAAAATTGACATTAACCATTAGTCATAAATGACTTGTTATCATGCAAATTCTGAGTAGCGCAATTGTAAATATCCACGTGTACAAAAAAATACACGTGTACATGCAAGGTGGTCTTAATGTGCAAAATTACAAAAAATTTATTTTTATACGTGTTTAAGTAAAAATCTCACTTAACAGCCCTCATCGTGTCGGTATTATCCTTAGACTTGGAATCCTCCTGCGTCGTAGATGCGACAAACTTGTTCCACTCGTCCTTCATTTTCAGTACCCTTTTGTGCTGCGGCGAATCTGGCGTGGTCGTTAACATGCGTCTCAGTAGATTGTTCAGTTGAGTGAACCGAGTCTTCGAGTAGCTTCAAACGTTCATGGCAAGAGCAAGAGAGAGAAAGCCAGCAACAATTATTTACAAATATATAATTTTCAATAATTATACTCTCTAAATTTCTCAGAGTGAAATCTCACTCTTTTGTAATACTAAAATTTAGAGAGTACTGAAGTCGCGGAATGTACAAAAATTTGCAACTAGCAAAAGTAAAAGTAGTATAAAATTATTGCGAATCTCTCAAAGCTATTAATTTATGCATTTGTAGATGAGATTAATTCGTTAAATATTCATTTGTACTCATGCGAGATCACTTTACCTGACCCAGTGTAAGAACGATGCGTCACTCACATAGAGCAAGCCGACGGGATAATTAAAGGCAAACATAATGACAATTTTGACATGCGTAGGTGTATCATCCTTGAACATCCCGGCATAATTGACCACTGTGAATACGATGAATACCACTACGACGAATGTGAGAGCGATAAGCTGATTACGATACAATTTCCGATAGTTCTTCTCCAATCCCATTTGCTCCAAAGATTTCTCGCACATCGTTATGCGCATCATTGCTGCCTTCATATACTGCGAATGTCAAAAAATAACAATAATGCAAGTCGCACGAGTCCACGTTCAGTAAATCAAGAATCCATTTTGAGAGTTGAATAAAGAGCTTATATTTATATAATATATAAAAATTAATCTTTTTTCTCTCTCTCTTAATTAGATTTTAGATCTTAAAATTTTCGCACGCTAATGTCAATCTCTATGACAATCCCTTAAATTAAATTACCTTTCTCCTCAACCAGCCGCAAGGAATGAGGCAGACCGTCAGGCAGATGTTGGCGTAGAAGATCCCATGAAATGTATAGTTCCCGAGTGAATTCATTTTAGGCAAATAATAAGTTCCCAGGTACTGTATCGACAGTTTCATCACGACGCAATACGTCACCAGACAGATCAACGAGTACGCGATGTTTAGAAATCTGCCTCGATTGGTGGACCAATTTCCCATGCCGACAATGGCGTTCGCTATTAACATCGGCGAGACCATTTCACGTACAGTCTTCGGCTCGAACATCTTCGTGAATGATCAAAATACACCCACTGGCCTTGATAACGACGGGCCCTTCGCCGTCGAATTACAAATGTACGTGCACCTCGCAATTGAAAAATGAACGAGTATCGTAACTATGTCACCTCGCGTGTTCTGTACACATGCGGACAGCGTGATACTAAATGTCACCCCCGACAAAAGTGGGAAGCCGAAGGTGGTCGAACAGGTGGCGGCGGCGGTGAAGTGGTGAACGCACAATCTAAGTAAACGATGTTCGCGATGCCTCGCAATGTCCGTATGTCCCAAAGGATTCATTCACTCATCTTATAATCAATATCCACTCGCAAGCGTATTGTATAAATAGTCGTCTGCGTCTTTTTTTTCATTTCCACAGCGAATACTCTGTGGAATTTCAAAATTTCTGAAATTTCGCTGTCTTATCACCGAAATGTTAAATAACGTCTCTGTGGATGGATTATAAGGAGGTCGCGAGAGAAATTTTGAAAAAAAATTGCTATTATTTTTAATTCTTAAAAAGATCAGCACGATGTAATATCAAGTTCCTTGCTACTTGTTCTATTTTTCTCCGTATTAAAGATAGTTTTTTTCAACAAGACGCAAAAATTAAAACAGAAATTTAATATCTTGATTAAAATGTTTTTTAGTATTGATGTTCTGAGCAAATTTTTTTAAATTGTAGCAAACTCTACCAAATGGCATTAAATTGTTATAGATGGAAAAGCAATATTATGCAATAGAAATAATGATAAATTTAAACGATGACAAGGCAAGTAGTGTGAAATAAGCGACGAATACATCGGGTGTCCGTGATCTCATAATGGATAAATACCCAGGAGACTTCATCGGGAAGATCGATATCGTGCAAAGTATCAAGCTAAGAGCTATCTTATTAACGACAATGCGAGGATTAAAAATGCAAGTTTGTGTTACTGACATTTGTAAAAGAAGATTGATATGCAACAAAAAAATTTTAATATATTGTCATATATTAGAAAAAATTATTCTGTAAATTATTAATAATCAGAATTTTTTACTTTGTAATTATAACATTGAGAATGACCCGATCGGGCTCGAAACGCCGTTTGTATTTTTGTTGTATTATTGTTTCGCTAATTAAAAAATATTATATCTTTAATTTAAATATTATTTTCTTATGGTTCGTAGTCCTTTTCAACACTTCTATTAAGAATTTTTTATATTTAATATTATTGTAAAAGTTCTATTTCATAACGTATTATTTAATTAATTACAAGCAACTATCGTGCATATTGCAAGGTATTCTACATTCGGGAGGTTGTACTACACACTCCGATATACATATAGATCTCGCACACTACGTGCAGTAATGTCGTAATAAAGGGAAATTAATAGTAAATATTAAGATGAAACAGAAAATATTTATAATAACTGACGCATATACTAAAAAGTATATAGCAGAATTAGCAAACATTTCTTTTCAGTTACTTTGTCGTTACTTTTTATAGTAAACAATTTGATGATGATATTGCAATTTTTTACGACGGTAAAGCTAACTAACTAAACGCTAAGGTTGTACTGAGGTTATAAAAGTCACTTTGAAAAATAATTTGTCACTATTACGCGTTACACTGAAAAAGTTATAAATATAACGAGTAACACGTAACGTTACGCGTAACGTTACTCGTTACTAAAAAGTAATGCGTTACAAATTAGGAGTTATTTTTTTCAGTAACAAATGACTTTTTCAATCCATTACAAGTAACGATTGACTTTTCTAACTCTGATGTTAGCATTACCATCATAAAAAATTCACAATGTCATTACCAAATCGTTATTATAACAAGGTAACGATCAACAAAGTAACAGCGTTACTTGCCAACCCTGGTTATAAACATCTTCGACTATTTGAAATTTAGGCCCGTACGTAGTCCGCTTTTCCAAATTGACAAAGTTAAATATCGAAAAATATATTACGGATACTTCTCTATCATTATTGTTTTATTATATAAATTTATTGAATTAATTTATCAAAAATTTATGACATCTTTATATTAAATATCGTTATATGTATATATATTAAATAATACTAACTATTTTTACATTTGTAAAAATTTTATCTGTAAAATTTACAGAAAAATTTACAGAGAAATGGATAGTAATGTCGGTTTTGTTCGATAAATTACAACAAGTAAAATTTTATTCTAAAATTTAAAGAGAAAAAGTAAAAGAATTTATTAAATATTTTACAGAGACTACTGTATCTATTTTACAAAGACTTATCTATTTTACGTACTTTCTAAACTTTTTGGAGTTAATCTCCAAAAGAGTGAATATTACCACTCTTGATCTCACTCCAAATAATTTAGAGAGTAACTTTTATTTTTATGACACTTTACGACATTCGTTTGTTATACGATTATATGATTCTGTCATAATTTAAGGGAATCCTAAAATGAAACTCGAACTTCGACGAGATCGCTGTTTTACCAAATGCGACACATCAACATATCTTTATATACTACATCAATATCGTACGCACATATGATATGATATACATAAATTTTCATAGAACACTAGCGTTTTAATTAAACATTTAAGTCTAATTCTAAGAACTCCACATTGTTTATTCGTGTAAACTATTACTATAATCTGTGAACCACAATTTCGTAAATACAGATTGCAAAGCTTTTGTACTAAGCACATATGTTGTTACGATATTGACAACTCTGATGCCATATTGGATTAAGAAAGTAAAAAAGATTTCAATCTAACAATATTTTTCGTTCAGCATAAACTTCACTTCACAAACACGTACTAATACGTATACTTCAATCATAGAAAAGGATTTTTGAATCTGTAAAAGAAAAAAAATAAATACAATAAGATAAAAAGGCTCAATAAATTAATAAATAATAAATTGAAATAGAAGAGGCTACGAGCATCCAGCTTGGCTTGTAGCCTCTTCTATTTGAATTTATTATTTAAGAAAAAAGTAATTTTTATTAAAAAATTATTGCGTTATATTCGGTAATATAGACAACTTTAGGATTCCCTTAAAGATTTTTAAAAGATAATCATTAATTAACTTATAATTCTTTTAAAATGTGCATCTTATACAGGATTGTTCAATTCCAGTGTGTTGCTCACTTGTACCATGATGACCAAGTCGGTTGTTACAATTCCCAAAATCTTAAATAAGAAAAGCATAAATATATTTCACTTACAATATGATAGATAGATTTAAAAATATGAAAAGAATATTATTGAATCTTTTTGTAGTTACATATATTTTTAATTACATAATTTAATTTTGCAACTTTATTTAAGAATTACTGCATAAAACGTTGCTATAATAGCAATTGGTACAAACCATGGTTAAGATACGATAATTCAAAGTAAGACCAAACACTGAGAATGTCACCGGACTTTGTAAAATTTGAACACCAAACTGTTGAATCTGAAACAATGGTGGACGATAATTATATAACATAAACATATAATTGCAATTGATTATATAGGGTGTTCAAAAAAAGATCGAATTCACTCGGGAGAATGACGTTTTCGAAAGAAATATTTCAGACAAAAGTTGTAAGGTATAAAAAGATCTATTTACAGATCTTATCAGTTTGACCTTAGTGGCGTCGCCAAGGTCAGATCAAGATAAAATCGATTTTTTTAATGGGATACCGTATTTTGGATGCCAGAATCTAATAGCTGATGTCAAAAACTTTTCAAAAGACTATAATAAAGTTATTTTTCATTAAGTATTTTTCGAGTTATAATTAAAAAGCTTGAAACTTACAGTACTGCCGGCATTATAGCATTATGCAAGATGTCTGACCGATGGCTAAAGAGATATAACCTCCAGCCTTGATTTTAAGAAATGTTATTCAGGACATGATCCTAAACAACATTCAAGAGGTTTTAGCCATTGGTCGGACACTTTGCGTAATGCTAATGCCGCGCCCGCGGCGATATTGTAACTTTCAAGCCTTATAACTTGAAAAGTACTTAATGAAAAATAACTTTATTACAGTGTTTTGAAAAGCTTTTGACACTAGCTATTAAATTCTGATATTAAAAATAGGGTATTTCATTTAAAAAAATCGATTTGACCTTGGCCTGACCTTGGCAACGCCAAGGTCAAACTGATAATATCTCTAAATGGATAATCATTTTATACCTTACAACTTTTATCTGAAACATTTCTTTCAAAAAACGTCATCCTCCCAAGTAAATCCGGAGTCTCGACCTTTTTTGAATACCCTGTATATGTATAACTGTATTGTATAACAACAACAGACTTCTTCTTGCATATTCGTATTTGCATCACATCCATTAATCGCATGAATGATTTCGATGGTTTTCCCTACAAAGAGCTTAATTATAAAATTTATAATCATAAAAACATACACACACACACACAATAATGAACGAGATGAATTACCTCAACAGCCGCGTGCTTGCAAATGCTACTTAAAGGAACAGCTTTCAGAATGCTCAGAAAACCCATTGCCAATGTAAAAGTTGTTTGGTCTGCCCAACTTTTGACTTTGTATTGTTGTATAATGAATCGAACGTATAAATTATAAAGAGCTACAGTAAGGATCACAATAATTTCTCCTATCTCCCAAACTGTTTGTACTCCAAAAGTAATACATACTACCTTTGAAATTTTACACAACTCCAGATGTACCTGTCTTAAAAACATTAAAGGTAATAAAAAATATTATTATTAAAAAAAAAAATTTTTTTATCTTCCAAAAAATATATATAATGTCTGATGTAAATATTTCCTGTACAATGAATGAAATTGTCAATTTTAAATATCTTAATGGCAAAATTAATGGATTTTAAGTTTATTTGGATTTTAGTTCGACTTTTACTTCAGAAAAATATTATAAAACTAAATGCAATCTATGCTTAAAATATAGGGGAAATCGGGGACAAAAGTAACATTTTGACTTTGAAGTGTTATAACAGTTAAAATATAATACTTACATTAAAAAAATATGTATCTTTAG